TTTTGAGTGCTAATCTGGTTTTTTATACACTGTCCAAGCATGTTGAGCTTGACATTCGTTTCAAGAAGGTTGCTTATGGTGCGTTGACTATTAATTACGTCCCTGCTCAATTTCAAGTGGCTGATGGGTTTTCAAAGGCCCTTGCCAAAACTCAGTTCACTGGTTTTAGGGACAAGCTTCATGTCACTAACACGATTCCTCTTGAAACTTGATCGAGTAAGGTTAATATTAGTGTATGACGATTTGTGTAAAGGTTGAGTGTGGATTACGCTTGAGTGCTTGTTACATCTTCTAGAATTATTCTTTTATTGTTAAGTTGTTAGACAATTGTCAAGGTATAGGTGGAGAGGACGTCGCATGGCCTTGTATAAATGTATTGGCTGATGGGTAATACAAGCACTCTACTATTCATGTTAAAGAGAGTCGCTAAAAAAAGATAACAAGTTGCAGGCATCCTTAGAAATCAGTTCAAGGGTCGAATGAGGGGGAGTATCATAAGTAATGAGATCGATATGCTGTGGAGCTGCTAGCCTGGAAAGGTAGTCCGCTGAAAGATTAACCTTGCGAGGGATCCAAATCATCTTTATTGCCCAAGCCCGACTACGCAGAGCATCAATGGCTCGAACTAAAGAAGAGGGACTAGGGCTGGCGTCCGAGAGTTGATGAGAGAAATCACAATGGAGCACTCGATTTAAACTTGTAAGAACTCAAAGCCAAGAGAACAACCGAGCTTCAAACCTTCATAGATAGACCAAAGTTTAGCTTGCAATGGATTTGTAATACCAATGGATCATGAGAACCCTATGATCCAAGAGCCATTTGTATTGCGGAATAAACCATCTATTGAGCTTTGACGAGAGGTTTTGTCAATTGCTCCATCAGTATTAGAAATCAAGCTTCGACATCACAAATTAGGAACCATCCACATATTGAATCTAAAGTGAAGCTACTCAAAAGACAATACAATGTTTTATCTGAAATGTTGAATATTGGAAGTGGATTTGGTTGGAATGAAAAAGAAAAATGCTTAACTGCACCAACGAATGTGTTTGATGATTGGGTTAGAGTAAGTATTTTAATTGAATTTATCTTTTTCCTATACTCTTTGTTATCTACATAGGTAATTGTAAGATTTATTAAATATGCGATTTTATTATATTGTAGAGTCATCCAACTGCTGCTGGATTAAGAAACAAGTTATTTTCATTCTTTGATGACTTTGTTCATATATTTGGAAAAGAAAGAGCTACAGGAACAGCAGCTGATGCAGTGGAACATATTGATGTTGAAGACAATTCATTTATAGATGCATTACTTGAAGAAGAGGGAGTAAGAGATTCTAAATCAAGAGAGGATGTTAGTGCTTCAACTTGCTAAACATCTGATGCTACTGCCTCTACCCCTACAATGAAAAAAGTAGCTAGCAAGAAAAGGTGTTGAAGTGATGATGGGTTAACTGAGCTTGTACAGGAGATAAGTAAGTTCGGTGTTGCATACCAAGAAACTGCCAAAGAAATTAAGGATATTATTACTTTATTGAAAAAGGTGGCAGAAAGAAATGATCGAAGAATGTGGATTTTCACTGAAATCATGAAAATTGAAGGCTTGTCCACTGATGAAATGTCTACTGCAGGATAATATATTAGCAAAGATGCGCACAAGGTAGATTTATTCTTTTCTTTGCCAAAAAAATTCAAGCAAGATTATGTGATTAAGCAATTAGTTGAATGCCATCAATTTAGACCATCATTTTGACTGTGGTCCTTCTACAATTATGTCGATCTCTTTTTGATTATGACTTTAGAATATGGTCCCACCTTTTTTGTGTAGCTTAGCCAGGTATATGTCAATCTTTTGACTTGAAGAATTTTTTGTGTATATAATATATCCAACATATATGATTAAGTTTAGAATGTCATGACTATTATCTTTTGTAAGTCTGAACATTGTACAAACTTTTGATGGTTAATGTTAGACTTCTTTTTGTTATGTAGTATATGACTTGCAAGTAATGTGCTAGTTTTTAAATATGTTAATTACTTTTGATAGTTTTTGTTATGTAGTAAAAATCTTGTCTTTGATAGATGTCACCATGGTTCAGGGCCGCTGCCTCAATTTGTATAAGAACTTCATCATCTTTGAATTCGGGTTCTTCCACTTCTTGTACCTCCAATATTGCTGGATCACCTGGATTCGTTATCACTACAACTTTCATAGTTGAGTTCCGAGTCTTTCAATAGTTAACAATTATCGCTTTTCTGTGTGTCGCAACTTATCGGTAGTGGATATTGGAAGTCTGGATTTTATATGTTCTTGTATATATGGTTGCCTGAGATGATTCTCCTACCATGTGATTCCAAAAGAACAACTGCTTGAACATTATAGCCCAATATTATATTTTATTTGTACAACTTTCGGTGGGTCTGATATCATATTTCATTAACTTCGTTTGATTCTGTTATATAGGCCTTAGGCCTTTCAAACAAAATATCAAATGCCACTGGCAAGTGCTTGTTTATCTTTTCATCATACTAGCATTGGCAAGTATCAGAGATCTTTGAAAACATATCAGTTTTGCACCATTTTGACTTGGTACAATGATTAAATCAGGTCACAAGGTACATCACAAAGCAAATTGTTTATACACTGTCGCGAGTGTCTCTTTTGTATCGTCAAAGGACACACCATTGTTATAATAGAAGATAAAAAAATCATTAGAAGCATCATGGAACAAGCAGTATCTTCCCAATATGCTCATTACTTTCCATCAGCTTATGACCCTCCCCAGCCTCGGATAAGGGAAAGGATTTGTAGACGATAGACTTCAATTTGCCTGCCACAACATCTGGCTAAACATTCTTCTCCACTTCATTAACAACCATTGCTTTGTTTTCTGGTTTCTTGCTCGCATCTTGGCCCCAAAATAAAAAAAATATCAAATTAAAACTATATACTGGTTTATGATTTCCCACTAGCCCACTAGAGAAGTAAGATTTAAACTTTTTGACAACAGATGCAAGATATGTGAATGATCCAATTTAAGGAAAGCCAAAGCTTGTTGAAAGGTGGGTGCATAGGCTTGACGGGTTTTCTAAACAATGTAGTGCTATATTCTATGTTATTTATGTACTGTATTACCTTGCACTGTGAGGCGCCTTTGAAGTAAGGTATTGAGTTTAATTTCAGCGACTGCTCCACTCTGCAAGCCGATAATACAAAGCCTTCCATCAAAATTTAAGTTGTCCAGGTTTCGCTGAAGGTAGGCTGCCCCGGTACAATCCAGAATTACATCAACACCTGCCGTTAAACATTTAAGAATTTAGATTGGTTGGTGGATTGCTGAAAAAAAGTGGGTACCCAGTACAAGAGCAAATATCCCTAGGATGTGAACCAAAGATGCAACAATTAAAACTAGAGAGCATACCCTTCCCTCTGGTTTCTTCCTTAACACGTGCAACAAAGTCCTCTGTCTTGTAATTGATTTACACATCCGCTCCAAGTTTATCGTAGACAACAGACTTTTCTTCAATCCCTGGATATCATCACTAGTTACACTACCACATCTAATATAAGAACAAATGAAAAAAAAAATACAAATTCTACAATGCAATCATTGTTGCAGGTAGACTTGCTGTAACAAACACTTGCACCTCTACTATGGTATGCAATTGTTGTTTGCAAATTAGAACAGTAAGATATCTAATGGATATAATCTACTCTGACACGACAATTAGTTTTAGGCTCTTTAGTTAAAGGGTGTGTTATGGTTTAGCTTAAATCATCTTAAGCATGAATATATATATATATCTGTGTATATATACAACATGTTATACTCCTTTAGAGGTATCGATACTCCAGTAGTTATTTTGTGTGGAAAATATTACTCAACGGAATCATCGTCATGGTCGATTCAATATCATAGTGAAAGTTAAAAATCCCTAATATTGAACCTGATATATTTTTATATAAATTATGTTTAAGTAAAATTTTAATATACTTTTTAAATAAATTATGTAAAATTTAATATTAATTAAAATTAAAATAATACATGATATATTTAAATAATAGAATAATATATTATCGATGAATTTTTATATAAATAATTTTTATTTAAATAATTAGAATTTCAATTATTAAAAAATATATAACAATGTCAATTTGGTAAAATATACATTCAAATAATATTTTATTTCTTCAACCAAACACTGTAATATATTATTACCAAACAAACCAAACACAGTAATGTAACATTCCCAGTAATGTGTTAGGTAATGTTACATTCTAGTAATCATATTTCAACTGGTAATCTTATATTATGTAAACCGAACACACCCTAACAAAAAAATGACTTCAATAAATTGTGTTCATATAGATTGATTTTGTCCAACACTATACATTTTTATATATTTACTCAAACAATTTTTGTACATCTTTATTTTTATAATATTTATTTTAATTAGCTTAATAATTTAAAAATAAAACAATTCTTTTAGCATTTGGACTTTTTCTTTTCGATTACTTGTTACTTTTAAAACAAATCTGTCATGAGTCATAAAAGAGGGTCTACGTCAACTACCTGAAAGCTTTGCTACTACACATTTATACGTACCATCTTAATACTGCACCCTTGGGCCTTCGCGTACAACCAGTTGACCAAATCCTTACGTTCTTCACCAAGACAACAGATCATCGTTAATTCATTTTTATTTTCTTCGACATAGAAGAGAACTGCGCCATTGACTACTGCTAAGTCGGTCAACGGTAACCAAAAGAAGATTACAAAAAAGCGAACATAGCACGAGAAACACGTGATCTTTACGGATCAGGGGTAATTTAGTCACCAGGTAGAGAACGTAAGTTAGGACAAAGGTGATGTAAATACATCTAAAACTAGAGGGTAGGGCCGGAATGTCAAGAATACTATCTTTTTGTTTTTTTTTTGGTTTCATTAATTAGTCTTCTTCTTCTTCTTTTATTTGACTTGATTGAAACCATAGATTTGCAGAGAGAAGTCAGGTATTGAAGAGAGATTGAGCGTTTTCCGGGTTATAAGATAAAACTGTTGTTTCTGAGGTTTAAAAAGAGAGTTTTTCTTGTATTACATTGTTAGTTGCTGGTTCACTTGAATCTGATGCGAAACCTTCAAACATAAACCTTTTCCTCTTTCAGCTTTCAGGTAATTATTTTTTTGCAGCTCAGAAGATTTCCTTTGTTTTTTTTTGCGTTTTTCTTCTCTAAAACTTGTTATTTTGTATGGAGTTGATAAGCTCATCTATGTTGATCTGTTTCTCTACAGAGATTAGGGTTTTAATTTTATATCTGGTTGATTTAGTTTTAAACTAGACTGTATTGTGGAGCTGGGAGAACTTTTCGTATATATTCTGCGTGGTTAATTTTTAGCTGTTGTATTACTTGGTTACGTTTACGGTTTACCTAACAGAGAACGTAGTTTGCAGTTAAAACCACGAAAATAGCTTATATTTCACCTTTTGTTATTATTTTTTCAATTACAGTTGCATGTTGGCGGATTGGAAGGATGATAATTTGTTAATGGCATTTGATGGCGATAATTTTGTACTGCAAAGTTTTGAAATTCCAATAATCAGCTGAGAAGGCAACCTACTACATGTCAAAATAAAGACAGGCGTTGAGAGTTCAAGATAGTTGATAGGGAGGGAGCTTCGTTTCTCAATCACTATCCTTGGTAAAAGTCTTTGGTTGGATGATCTTACAAGTGTTTGCTAGTTTTGGTGATGATATCTACTCTCGTAGTTTAGAATTATAATGTTGTTTCAAAAGCTCACTGTTTTCTGCTCCTAGCAAGTTTTTTTGGACTAGTTTTTGTTTAAATTTAGGAGGAAAATCTTTGTTAACTTTGTGCATCAATTCCTAGTTTCTTTCATCTTTGTTTTACTTTCTCATTACCCAAACTTAGTCTTGAATTCTGTTACTTGCTGCAAAATCTGATTTAAAGCCTGTCTTATTGCAGGTCCAATAGCCGTTACTCCTCATAAAGGTTCCTAACGACAATTCTCATATGTTTTTGGTTCTGAAATTAGAAACTAAATAGAATTTGCTTGTGAGTTTCAGTTGCTTGGAAAGCTTGACTTTTCTGTTGTATGGTGATTGCTTGTTAATAGGTGATTTCTTTATGTATTCGTCGGCTTATTTTTATATATGAATGATGGCATGTGGGCACAGGAAGTCAATTGAGACTAAATGAATTGAGAAAAATCCAAACGGCAATTTCATGGAACATTCTAGAGCTGGTAAACAATACCACTCTGTGGAGCATGGAAATGGGGAATTCCCTCATGCAACTCAAGCATTTTTGGCAGATCCTATAACCAGCTCAAACATGAGTATAAGACCTCCTGAGCCAAAAGGATCTGATGTCAAACCAGTACTTAATTTTTCCATACAGACTGGTGAGGAGTTCAATTTTGAATTTATGCGGGACCGGTTAAATCCTAAGAAGCCTTTCATCTCAAGTTCTCTCGGTGAATCCAGTTATGCAACAGGATATATGGATCTAAAAGGTATTCTAGGAATTAGTCATACAGATTCTGAAAGTGGGTCTGGTATTTCGATGCTTAACGTAGTAGAGAAAGGTCCAAAGGGGTTTGAAAGAAAAGGATCTATATATGAAAACCAAGGTTGTTACGGGTCACTTCAATCAATGCGGCAAACTACCTCGGGCTATGAAAATAACAGAGGTCTTTTATACATGTCACTTGGTACCTCTGACGGCACATCAGCAAAGATGAAAGTTCTCTGCAGCTTTGGTGGAAAAATCCTATCTCGACCAAGTGACAGAAAACTAAGGTATGTTGGAGGTGAAACACGCATAATTCGCATCAGAAAGGATATTTCATGGCAGGAACTTAAGCAGAAGATATTAGCAATTTATGACCAAACAGAAGTGATCAAATATCAGCTTCCAGGAGAGGACTTTGATGCTTTAGTGTCTGTGTCCTCAGATGAAGATCTGCAGAATATGATGGAGGAATGTAACGAGCTTCTAGACAAAGAAGCCTCTCAAAAGCTTAGGATGTTTCTGTTCTCACTGAATGATTTGGAGGATACTCAGTTTGGTGTAGGCAACATGGATGGTGATTCTGAGATTCAATATGTGGTAGCTGTCAATGGAATGGACTTCGGAACAAGGACAAGCTCTACTCTGCAGGGGTTGACAGGCTTTTCTGCTAACAATCTAACAGAACCAGAGGGAAAGAATATAGACAGGGTATCAAGCAGAGTTGCAAGAGACTCAGTTGTTATTAGCTCTTCTAACATTCCTGGCAGTATGGTGTCATCATCAACTTTTCAGTCTTCTCAACCAGTTCTACCAAGTTCCTCAGGCACCTATGAAATCCATCCACGGTTTTATCATGACCAGAGGGTGGGGTATCCATTGCAGTACGGTCATAACTCTTCTAATTATTCTAATATTGCAGAATTTTCTAATTCAGTTACTCCTAATGGGTTTATGAATCAACATGAACACTTGACCGAAGTGCAACCATACGATGGCCTTCAACAGCAGAATCTTCGGTTGCTGGCGACCGAGTTGAAACCAGAGGGTTCAGGCCATCAGGGCAATGACCTTGAAAATCAACATCCCTTGGGAACAGATCACACAGTTTCTTCCCAGACACAGGATGGAAAGGTGATAAATCATTTCCCTCTTGAAGAAGTTCCAGTTGCAGTTGCTTCAAATGATGCATCCCTTTTTTGGGTAAAAAATGAAGCTAAAAACCAGGAAAATGAAAAAGTTGTCTCATATTCTGATGCTGTGAATCAAGTGCCAGTTCCTAAACTGGGTAATGCTGACCATCATTCTACTTCTAGATATGTTGATTCTGATTCCAATCCTGCTGATCTAAGCTACTTTGAGCCCACTGCACCTCCACACAAGGTTTACTATTCGGAAAGAATACCTCGGGAGCAGTTAGACTCGCTAAATCGATTGTCAAAGTCTGATGATTCATTAGGTTCCCATTTGCTATTAGCCCACCCACAATCTAATGTGGCACAACAGGGTCCAAACACAGAAACTGTTGAAAAGTTACGAGATAGTAATATTGCTTCCCATACTGAAAGCTCAGCTGGTAAACCTTCTAATATCGGTCCCCATCCTGGTGCTGTTTCTCTGATTAACTCAATGCTTTCTGAAGATGTGTTGGACACAGGTTTGAAGCAAGCAGTTTCAAATCCCGTGGACAATATACAAGCTCCAAACAAGGATGGGGTTCGGGTTGGTTGTCTGAAAGATAACCTTCCAGATAATGAATCAGTGGAAACTGGACTAGGGCAACCTGTAGCAAGCGAATCAACATTTGCTTTGCCCCATGATGTCAACTTGACTAGCAAAAATCCTCCTGGACATTTTCAGGTTGATTTGAGGACGGAGAGTTCAACAAAAGATGATTCCAGTGGTATCATCAGGGCAGATCATGGGGACATTCTTATTGATATTAATGATCGATTTCCTCGTGATTTCCTTTTTGATATTTTTTCCAAAGCAATGCTTTCTGAAGAGTCCTCTGGTGTTAGCCCACTGCAAACAGATGGAGCTGGCTTGAGCTTGAACATGGAAGGCCATGAGCCAAAACACTGGTCATATTTTCAGAAGTTGGCGCAAGATTTTGAAGAAAAAGATGGTTCCCTTGTCAACCGAGATCATATATCAGATCAGTTTACTTCACGGGGTGTAGTTTCATTGAGCCAAGCTGAATCTGATCATAATTTTGGTGAAAACAACCTGAAGGATGGTCAACCCCAGGTGCAAATCTGTGAAAGTATGCAGTTCAATGCCATGATAGAAAACCTAAGAACACCAGAGTCGGATTATGAGGTAATTGGTTTCAATGATTAATTGATTTTGTACACCTCATTTCCTTAAAAGACATCTGCTAACAGAATATGACTGCATGGGTTCTTCTAGAAGCCGAAATCAGAGAAGGGGAACGTTGGTCTACCTCCTTTGGATCCTTCTCTAGGAGATTTTTATATAAGTACGTTGCAGGTATGCTACCTTTGTCACAATTTCTCCTGCTTCTCTTGTTATACATTTGGTGAATATGAAATGGACTGGACCACTGTTTGGCTACTTGCAATAAACTATTATTTATTGGTAACTTCAAATTTTGTTCTGCAATTTGTGTTGCCTTTTGGCACATGCAAACTTTTCATCTTTATGATTACTTCCCGTGTACATTTATGTATGTGAAACTAAAACTTGTAAGCTTAACTATGAATTCTGTTAGACCAGTGTACTTATGTAGAGATAATAAGCTGATCCGTGAGAGTGTTTTCAGAGGGGCGAGGTGCACAATAGGCGTTTGGCTTTGCGAATAAAGTTGTGTATGCGAATGTTTTTATATGCGTTTGAATATGTATATATAATAACCTTAAGATATATATCTTGATGGTGAACTTTGAAGAGGTGCAATTTATCCGACAAAACAAGCAAAATTTTCTTTTGTTGGCCAATGTGAATTATTTCCTTTGATAGTTTGAACCCGTGTTTGTTGCCGAATACTCAATTTTGAGAAGTAAGCAGTTTTTATTATCCTTATCTTACTAATAATTAATAAAGGTTCATTTTATGAAAAAAAGTTAAAAGAAAATAGAAAGGACTTCAATAATGCAGACCTTTTTTTTAGTATTCATTGCCTTGCAAAAAGACATGTTTAGCACTTTTGTTTTCTAATGCCTAGGTGCAACAGCTAGATGCGCCTGGGTGTACACCCCACTGGATAGCGGAACAGTTTTTACCAGTGCTTGCTCGTCTTTACAGAGACTTCTAGTTGGAGAAATTAACTTTCTTTTTACTCATTACGTGTGCCCCACAAAATAATCTAATAAAAAATTAAAAACCCAGTATGCAAGGGACAATTTATATTTATTTCTAGTGTTCAGGTACGGACACAGAATTTCATGTTAGGGGGGACGAACTTGAACTTAAAAAATTTTTAGGGGGCAAACTTAAACTTATAAAATTCTGGGGGGGGCGAAAACAGATTTTCAATAGAAAATACATAGAAAAAATCTAAAACATATAGTAATCTTAAATTTTTAGGGGAGCGACCGCCCCTGCTTGGAGTCATCCTTCAGCTCATTCTAGATGTGTATTCTGATACTAGTTGAAGCTATTTATTTATTTATTTATTCTGTATCTAAGAAAGCACAGAATTTGATTCTGCTGACTACTTTTTCATGATTAAAGTTCTAGGCATACAATAGCTAATTCTAGCTGTTGAATGGTTTCTTAAATCGACAAAGGCATTGAAATATATATTTTAGAAAATTTGTTCTTTTGTTGTGCTAATTTAAATTTTGTTTCTTTTTTATATGTTCAGATTCAACCTTTGTTTCTCATTATAAACTTAATTTTGTCGACTCAAATGCAATGGGGATAAGCTTTTTGGAGTATATACTGGCCATAAAATGCTTCGAAGCTGCATGGATGTGTTTCTGACATTTGTTTTGCTTTTGAGAACTTTCGTGCACATATAAACTGAAACAAAAAAAATTCATCTCTCTTCTTGTTTGTTTGTTATATTCTGGGCCTCAACATCTTATGACAATGTCTACCTACTTCCTGAAATATTTTCTGTAATGTGTACTTGATTTTTACTTGTTTGTCCGGGATTGATGTTGTAGCTCATAAATAATGACGATCTTGAAGAGTTGAGGGAGTTGGGTTCTGGTACATTTGGGACTGTATATCATGGCAAATGGAGGGGATCAGATGTTGCCATCAAGAGAATCAAGAAGAGCTGCTTCACAGGTCGATCATCTGAGCAAGAAAGATTGGTAATTTGCCTTACACAAATCAATATTGACTATGCGTAGAATACATTTTCTACATATTCGTTCATGACACCATTGTTTGAAAGCCTGTTGATCTTAAAAGGAAGTTAACAAACTAAAAATAACATATATCTTTTTGGTTTTTTTTTTCTCCTGAAGGGGTCCAAATAGAGACCTTGTTTTTTGTACTTGTAGTTGCCGGTGTTTGATATATGATCACTATACCTCATGGCTGTCGGCAATGATTTCTTTTCTTTATTTAGCTATTATCATAGTCATTATTATTGCATGTTTGCTACTGCCTTTTTTCTCTAGTATTATTTTCGTACTTAATGCTTTACTAAAAGATATACACTTAAATCCTCAGACCATTGAATTTTGGCGGGAAGCTGACATTCTTTCAAAGCTTCACCATCCAAATGTGGTGGCATTTTATGGGGTGGTGCAAGATGGTCCTGGAGGAACAATGGCTACTGTTACAGAGTTCATGGTTGATGGTTCCCTTAGGCATGTTTTACTTCGCAAGGATAGGTGATTTTTTTTTCACTTTGTTATCGATGAATTGTTTGTTTTACTTTTTTTTTTGGGGGTGGGGTGATATTTTCATATTGTTAGTTCACAAATATCTCATGCTACTGTTCTACCTAATCCTAATTTTCAGGTTACTTGATCGTCGAAAGAAACTCATAATTGCTATGGATGCAGCATTTGGGATGGAATATCTACATTCAAAAAATATTGTGCATTTTGATCTGAAATGTGATAATTTACTTGTTAACTTGAAAGATCCTTCACGGCCTATTTGCAAGGTTACCTCTCTGTCCTGGTCGAATAAGTTGGTTAAAATTTGGTGCTAATTATTACCTCTCTAAGATTCTTTCTTTCCCAGGTTGGTGATTTTGGACTGTCTAAAATCAAACGTAACACCCTAGTTTCTGGTGGTGTTCGGGGGACCCTACCGTGGATGGCTCCAGAACTCTTGAATGGGGGCAGCAATAAGGTTTCAGAAAAGGTAAGATGTCGTTTATGAAATTAACTTGAACTGGCACAAGAAGCTATTTGCTCTTCCTGATTCTTCCCATGGGTCTCTTGGAGGTTTTACCTAAGTATTGCAATCTAAAACCCAATGGAGAGTTCATAACTTTCAGCCCTTTTTTCCTACTGTATTTTTGTTGCCACACTTTCAACTGCCCACACGGATACATTCATGATCACACTCTTTTATGGGAGCCTTAACTGAAACATTCATTAAAAATATAAAATAGAGAAAAGAGATGGGTCAGTGGATGGGGGATGTGAAAGAAAATTATATTTTGATATTGAGATAATTCCTTGGAAGCCTATTCATCTTCTGTGTACTTCCTAACCTGATTTCATGATATCACAAAGGTGGCTGCTTTAATTGTTGAAGACGACCATATTTTGTTACTTATTCTGTCTGGGATATATGTATATATATATATATATTTGTGTGTGTGTATATATAGCTAGTGACATAATGTCATTTTTTAGTACTATTCTTCACATTTATTTGTTGATCTGCAGGTTGATGTGTTCTCTTTTGGTATTGTTCTATGGGAGATTTTCACTGGTGAAGAGCCTTATGCCAATATTCACTATGGTGCAATTATAGGTGTGACTCGAGTACTTCTTGTAGCTTTTAAGTTTCTGGTTGTGTCAGAATATTCTCATCAATTATAGAGGCAAATGAGAAACTAGAAACAACATTAGCATACTATTTTGAAGCAATGTTCTATGTTGTCCATCCATTGGGCTGGAATAACTTTCTACTTCTGGAGCCAAAATATAATATGGAAGTAGTTTTGGTATTTTTGACTGATGAACTTACAAAATCCTTTGAGGGTAGTCTGTTTTATTGACAGTGAGGCATTGCTACCTGTTAACTGACATCTGAGTTTTGGGCTTCATTCATGGAAAGTATCTGTTCATGTTGATTCCTAACATGGATATGCTGGGTTGCTTATGAGATGGTTATTTGCATTTTCCTGAATTAGCATCTTTTTAGTCCCCTGATTGTCATGTTTACCTTTATATTCCTTGGTTCTAGTCATACTCTCTTTGTGATCTAAAAGTTGTTTGGATATGCAGGAGGCATTGTAAGTAACACGCTGAGACCAACAATTCCAAGCTTTTGTGATCCTGAATGGAGAAAACTGATGGAACAATGTTGGTCCCCCAATCCTGCAGCCAGGCCATCATTCACAGAAATCGCTAATCGATTGCGGACTATGTCAGCTGCTGCTAGCCGACAAAGCAAGGGTCACAAGGCATCGAAATGAAAATGATTTGTGAAAGCGAAAATGTCGTTTCCACTAGATATTCATTCAATTGTTCACGCATTCGAGTAGTATTTAATTATATATTCACATGGAAATGGAGAATCGGGGCTTCCTAATTGTTTTTGGAATGGAAGGCTTCTCTATGAAGGAATAATAATGTTGTTGAACAAAATATTGTGATTTAGTGTACCGTTGTACTTGATAAAAAAAACTTTATCTTCGACCTTTTTAAACTGCGTTGACACTGGCTAACGGATGTGCATCTTTTCAAATAATTGCTACCCTTTTTATTCACCTTAAATTGAATATGGAGATGGAGTTTGGCTTTCTATAGAAGTTCATAGTGCACTTATTTTCTATGTCAAGTAATTCATCAAGATCAGAGTTTTAAGAATGTACTCTGCCTACCTAATTGTCTTCACCATTTATCCGCTCTTTGGTGGCTTTCGGTCCTGTCCTACCCTTTGTAAGCTATAATGTTCTGTATTTCTTCGGCAAAGTGAAGCTTTTCCATCTTCATCCTTTGAGGAGTGAGGACTATGTTTGGGTAGACTCGCTTCAAGCGAATCAAAAATGACTGAATAGCAGAGAATGGACTCGAGAAACCGCCCGAGAAAGAACGTTCAGTTGTGGGTTGCATCTTGTTACACCACTGTCAACGAAACCGGGCTTAGTTTCTTGATTGCTTGGAGCATTCCTTTGAGTGATCCTCTGCTCTCTTCGACATATTTGTGCAAGTGCATGACACTGTTGATGTATAATGGCTCCCCTTCTCTTAAGTTGAGATTCTCTTGGGTCAAAAGTCAATGGTGTAACTGGCTCTGATATCATGTGGAACTCCATTGCTATACCAAGTGAGTTAGCATCCTCGACCAGTGACTTCATGCTGGCTTCAAGCTCTAGGAGATTTTCATTGCTAGTTAATTCCGTGATACGAAGAGTTGGGGGGACTTTCGGGCCTTGATGATGGTGTTCTTATCAGGGAAGGCCATTGAAGTGTATGTTTCATTCCTAGATCAATGATGTGCAAGGAGCCTTTCCGTTCTGCTGCTCGACATATTGCCTCATTTTGCAGCCATGACACCAAATACAATACAAGGAATTGTTTGGTAAAGTAGTTGAAAGGCCTGCATTTTCTCACGTGACCTCAACCCTAACATCGTATTTATCCGACAGGACCACGCACTTTTCACGTGCTTCATATATTCAAACAAATTTTCTAAACTACCCCTCCCGCTTGCATTCGCAGCCATTATTTCCGTCGCGGTGGAATACGTGAGGTCGTGAGCGTCCTCCTCTGACCCGTTTGACCACTTGGTGTTGGACACGTGGAATAAATTATAACTGTGTCCTGGGTCAGGTATTAAAGCTCATCGACACGTGGTCCTTTTGTAAGATACCTCCAGAAATCCCTTTCTCTTACAAAATTGAAGTTATTTATCTTTATTGAACATTCAAATTGAAAGCTCCATCAGCCCTCCGTTTCCGGTCTCCCATTGTCTCTTTCTTCTTGTTGGTGTCCCGAGACGATTCAACTGCAGGAAGGAAGATATATCACAGGTAATCTTTTTTTATTTCTGGGTTTCTCCTTTTCTTGTTTGGTTGGTGGGAGAGGACCATAAAGAAAATTTCTATTTTGGGTTTTTATTCTCTTGGAAAAGAAGCTTCTTATCAGTTCTTTCTTAGTGAATCCTAGGAAGCAAGCAGAGCTGTTAGTGTTTTTATTAGGGTGTAACTGCCCACATCTTTATTTCCTATCCCACTGCATGTATGGTTTTCTTTCTAGAAAAAGGAAATCAAGTTTTGGGTTTTTATTTGTTTGTATTTTTTCTCTGCTATGAATGAAAAATGCAATTGCTCGATTGTAATTAGGCTACTCATGCATGTCAATTGTATGTGGTAGTTTTTCAAGTTTAGGATTTGGAATTTGAAAGTATTCAGCTTTAAGAGTAGACGGACTTGTATTTCAGAGTTTTATTGAACTATTTTAAATATCAATTATATATATGCAGGTTGGAATAAAACTAGTGAAATTCAGTTGGTTGGTCGTGCTACTGACTTATCCTGTTTCAATGGTTTAGAGATACTCATATTATGGGATGGTAAGAGAAGGCTTATTATCATAAGGCTTTTATGAATTTCTGTTTTGCCTGTATTGTGTTAGAGGTTATGCCATTTGGATGTAATAGTCACTAGCGGAAAAAGTAACACGATCAGCCTTTAAGCATTTGGTTTAGAGGGAGGAGGAAGTGGAGGAGAGTGAGGTGGAGTGCCTTGGTTAAATATAGGCAACTGTTGAAATTCAACTTGATCACACATGTTTTAATTTTTGTTGGCTAGCACTCAAAAGTTTTTAATAGGACTGCAGCTTGAACGATTGGAAGAGCGGTGTGTCTGTATGTCTTTTTTATGGTGGATGGTCCATCCACTTGTAGTTATGGCCAAAATTTTAGTTATTTTTATCGACTGTTTCATCTTTGTATGATGTTGCACCTTAGAAATCTAGTGTTGCTTCAGCATTTGATCTTGATGCCCTGTAAAATTTATCGAAGATTTTTAGATATAGCCGATGATTCTTGTCATGTTAATGAATGGAAAAACCATAGAAGAGATACAACATGTGCTATTTTTCTCTACTTGTGCATTATTTCTAAATGATCTTGAAAATGACGGTTTGAAGAATTTATGTTAGCAAGGTTACCCTTTTATCTTCTTAATATATACTTTTCTATCTTTATTTGTAACAGCGTGGGGTAATGAGAAGATAGAACAAGATCAAAAGAGATATTCTGTAAAATTGCCATGGATCAATCGGGAAAAACACAACAGCAGCAGCAACAGCCCACGATGGGAGTTGTACCTGGTGACGGGCAGATGGGCTATTCTAATGCTCCTTACCAAACTGCTCCAATGGTCACGTCTGGCACTCTGACAGTAGCCGTCCCTTCACAAACTCAGCCTCCGGTTACTTTCTCTAGTTCTCCACATCAACTTTCCTACCAACAAGCTCAGCACTTTCACCACCAACAGCAGCAGCAACAACAGCAGCAGCTTCAAGTGTTCTGGGCTAACCAGATGCAATAAATCGAACAAACAGTAGACTTCAAGAATCACAGTCTCCCACTTGCTCGGATAAAAATAATAATGAAAGCTGATGAAGACGTTCGGATGATATCAGCAGAGGCTCCTGTAATTTTTGCAAAAGCTTGCGAAATGTTCATCTTGGAACTGACTTTACGCTCTTGGATCCATACAGAAGAGAACAAAAGGAGGACACTACAAAAGAATGATATAGCAGCTGCAATTTCAAGGACCGATGTCTTTGATTTCTTAGTCGATATCATTCCGAGAGACGAGTTGAAAGAGGAGGGACTTGGGATCACCAAGGCCACTATTCCTTTAGTTGGCTCACCTGCCGATATTCCATATTACTATGTCCCACAGCATCCTGTGGGATCACCGGGGATGATAATGGGAAAACCACTCGATCAAGCAGCTGCATTGTATCCAGGCCAGCAGCCTCGACCACCCATGGCTTTCATGCCATGGCCTCATGGTCAGCCACAGCAGAAACAATCGGAACAGCAGCCAAGCGATTCATGATTCACCAACACATCGTAATCGGTTTGTTGCAATGACATTTCCGCCTGCTTTATCCTGTAGTTAGGTTGTTTTAGTGGTAGGTTAGGCACAAGCTGTAACATTGAGAGTGGACGTTGCTTTAACATGTCATTTGCTGTTTGGTTTTATGATGTTTGCTTGTAAGAATTATGTTGCTGGCCATGGAACTATAATTATCTTTGCTTGAGTGGGTATTGGAAGACATTTGTTGTAATTTGTCAGGCTTGGGACTTTCATTAAAGCAATCCAAAGTTATTTTGTGCTTTTCCATTTTTGTCCAACTTTTTCTCTTTAAAAAAAAATGATTTGATTTCTTTTTTTCTTTTTTAATTCTGAAAGGTTAGGGGTTGATTTAACTAAGAAGAAGAAAAAAATAATGGTTAGTTTGATAAAAGAAATATAAATATTGAAGGTTAAATTGTCATTGTACAAATACAATTTTAGTTAAACTATATTCTAATTCAAGTAAATTTTAACTTTCTAATATATATTAATTTTAAGATGACTGAATTAATTAATTTAATGATAAAGAAATTGATTAAACAAAAAAGAAATAGAGAATAAAAATTAAAACTGGCTATTATACATGGGATTTTATACGCAGTTTAATGACTCTCTTTCTTTTTCTTTATTTTAAAAAAAATAAGGAATACAATTAGGAGTGATCAAATGGTTAATCTGGTCATTGACCGAATCGAATTTCCATTAACCTGACATTTTTTAACCGTTAACTGAATTGAATTTATATTTTGAAAATAATAATTGAACTGAATAAAGTTTGATTATCTCGGTCAATTAATCGAATTAACTAATTTTTTATAATTTTTTAATTAGATTAATTTGAATATAATAGACATATTTTTTTATTTGAGTTAGAATATAAATAGGTATTAATAATTTAATGAGTCTAGTGTGGTCAAAAAATAATTGAGTCATAATTATTAATGAGTTTTAGCTTAAAATGGGTATTTAATATATATAATATATTGAGAAAATCGCCTCAGTGACCAAAAAAAAGTTATAATATACGATTTTAACCAACTTTTTTTGGATTTGCCAAAATGACCAACAAAATCGCAACGCGAAATAAAAATCGCAACGCGATCCCCAGAATCGCAAATCAGTTTCCAGAATCGCAAATCAGTTTCCAAAATCGCAACGCGATTCTTGAAAATCGCGATGCGATAGTACAAATTCGCATTGCGATTTTCCAAAATCGCAACGCGAATATGAAAATCGCAACGCGAACACATAAATCGCAACGCGTATCCGTAAATCGCAACGTGTATCCGTAAATCGCAACGCGTATGGGTAAATCGCAATGCGTATCCGTATATCGCAACGCGTATCCATAAATCGCAACGATAATACATAAAATCGCAACGCGTATCCGTAAATCGCAACGCGATATTTAAAGCGCCATTATAATCGCTACGCGTATTTTATTTTCAAATTACAAAAAGAATATTAAGACAAAATCCCGTAATCGCAACTCATAACCTAAAACCTAAAATCACAACTCAGTCCCATCTCCATCTCTCACTCTCTACGGCGAAGAAATCCGTCCCCATCTCCGAAGATTTCCGTCCCCATCTCCGGCGAAATCCCTCACAACCATTCACGGTCAGAAATCCCTCACAATATTCAGAAATGGAAAATCAACCTCCGAGGGTTAGTTTTTTTAATTATTTTTATTTTGAAATGTTTGCATT